TAATGATTAAAACTCTGCTTAACCTACTATATGTTAAAGTCTGAAACAAACCTACGTTTTGTGAGAAATCTTGATATCAATCAATAAAAAACAAAACAAAAAAAATTATAATGTTGCATGACGAAAACATATAGTATGGTTCTTTCTATAACTATTTAATCTTATATTATGTTATATTTGCATTGATTTAATATTATCCAACTCGAGGGCATGGTCCTAAATCACGGTAATGGCGGTAGACATTACTAGGTTGGACTGCAGTTAGGTTAAAGGAGGTGGTAGCTGGGGAGTGGGATTCAGAGCAATCTGTTCTGAATGTTGTGGGTTCGATTCCCACCTGGGTCGGTTAATTTTCATTTCCCTCCCTACCCTGACAACCCCAAAGTCAGGAGTTGGCAAAAAGAACTATGTGGCCCATTTTTTTCGGACTAGGTCTCCCCACCATTACCAGTACTAGGAGCAGGACCACTATACGTAGGTTTGAATTTTTCATTTTTCTGAGGTAAGTATTAGACTATTATTGAATTTATTTTATGTTAAATCAGAATGACATTGGGGATAGCTTACTGTAGAGTGGACACCCAATATCTTCATGGTCTAGAGGAATACGCCAGAAGATTAAACCTTGTTGATCAATTCTTTTGGTTACCGTTGATCAAGATTACATCCTTACTTATTGAACACAATACTTAGATTGCGGTTAGTTAATTTATGATTGAGTGGCTTCATATTTGGTTTTTTAGATTCAATCCAAACTGTTTCTGATGATTTTATTTAAGCCTAATAGGTGAGTCATGAAGACAAATGATCAAAATTGGTTAAAATTGAAAATATTTTACAGAAAATTTGCTTTTCCTCAACTTGTTTGAAATTAAAGATGTCCGTATTTGATATGAGGCCCATAAATTGTATTCTGTTTACTCGTTTTTGTTTTTCTATTTCCGATTGCCATGTCCGAACAGATCGAAACAGTATTTCAAAATGCTCAAGGCCGATGCTAATAGTTCGATTACGAGTATAATTGTGAACTCATACAATTGTATTTCGACCTTTATGCTGAAACCAGAATATGATGATACGATAGAAGGTGAGCTGCTTTTAGTACACTAATTGGAGTACATTGGAGTATTTCTCACTATAATTATCATCGACGTCACAGATTATTATATTTCTAAATAAATAAATAAAAAAACTCTAAACCCAAAAATTAAGAACTATTCATTTGAGTGATTAAATAATAATGTTTCATCCGATTTTTCTCTTTTCATTATATACTATATTTTTGTTCCCTATTCCAGATAAGTCTAAAGCACTCAATTACATCATGATAAGAAATGTTTGAGAACAACAATGAATATTTTCTAATTCAATGGTAATAACGGATCCTATTTGAACCGCTTGTTCGTTCCCTACAATCCTCACCCTCGCCCATCTAAGGGTATAGAGGGGAGCTACCCACTTTTCCTTCACAATGCCCTTGTATTAAATCCAACACTATTACATCAAGCCTGCCATCTACCAAGCTGATATACTCAAAGAAGAGTTAAATTAAAAGTAGTAGTAAATAAAATCTGATAGTGTATTTATATAATGAAAATCGACCCATTTCAGTGCTCTAAAAATCGTTACACAGTGTATAGCAGATTGATTCAAACAAACTTTAATATAATAATTTATTCAGTTTTTTAGACCAAATTGATTCGAAACACTCTTGAGATCTCACCAAATAATAGGTGTATAAAAAAAATTGACCGTTTGTCAAATTCCCGTTTTCAAAGGACTATAAATATTGTAATCGTAATTAATACCTACTAATACTTGATAAGTCCTTTAAGGCATTCTCTAAGCTTGTTTAATCCCATTCGACTTCTTCAAAGCCTCAGTTTAGTTATTTTTTTCAAAAAGAAACATGACAGAGTTACGAAATTCTCGCAATTTTAAGGCATCATTCTAAAAAAAATTTCACACCCGCTGAAGCAACTCGTGAAATTATTAAATATGAAGGGGGAAGGTATTCTTGATTGAGCGCATTGCGCGGCGTTAGTTTGAAAAATTAAACAGTGGAGATACGACGTTTGAAAGGCAGGACTCCGGACTTATGGATATTGATGAGGTTCTGCAGGAAGCTGTTGAGTCAAATCCATCCACGAGTACTCGCGAACTTGCCAGAGAATGTGTTGTGTCAGAAGATTCTCTTAGTCGCCACCTTCTCTCCATGGAGAACATGAAAAAGAGCAATAGACTGATGCCTCACGAACTTACTCCTAAGCAATCAGCTAAGAGGTCAGAAATTTGTGAAAATACATTGTAAAACCCTTCTGATCAGAGGCACCTACCTCATCCACCATATAATCCAGACCTTGCACCATCGGATTACTACTTATTTAAATCCATGGCCCATTTTCTTCAAGGGAAAAATTTGATAACTTGGCGGAATTTAAAAGTGTGGTCCAAGAGATCTTCAAAAGCCATCCCATAGAATGATTTCACGGTGGGATCGAGCTATTGGCTAGCAGAAAGCTAATGACAGTCAATAACAATGGACTATACTTTAATAGTCGATAACAAAAATATAGTAATACAAATATTTGGTTGAAAAACGGTAATTTTTTTCATACACCCTATTAATTTGAGCCATCCAACGAAAAATTCTTTCCAGCCGTACTCTCAAAAAATCGTTTCCTATTTTTTAGTGGACAACCCAAACTCGTAAACCTTGTGTGAATTCACTGCAGTCGGTTAATAAACCGCCTATTTAAAGGTGTAATGTTTTAAGCAATGTTATTGGTTTGTTTTTCTGAATATTCTGGAGACCCTATGTGACTAAAAAAGGTATAAATTGCTCTTACTATTAAAATTGTGGTTACAGAATTTTACAGTATTCCTGTCCATATAGTTCAATGCTAACTTTTTTTTGAGCCAGATAAAAAATAAATTAAGTATCTTAAACTTTTGCTCTCTTTTTATGAATTAAATGATTTGATTTTTTATGGGACTTGTTGGATAGGATGTGGACATTCAAAACATGACTGTTTCACATCATGACTATTTAATTACTATTAAATTTTATCTAAATATTGACAGATACAGATTACAATTTTTAATGTAATGCTTTTTAAGATATTTCCTGATAAAAAATCAGGAAATAAAATATTGTGGATTAATATTAAAATCGTCTTGATTTAAAGCAAAACTTGGAATGAAATTTTAACTTTATGTGTTATCAGTTTCGGTATTACTAAAACCGATGTGTTATTTCGTAACCAAAACCTTTTTCCTTACATAAATAAAACGTTCCCAAAATAAAAATATTTATATTGTTGCAACGATTTCCAGAATTTTTGTTTTAAAATTTTATATAAAAGTTCTTTTTATATCGACAAAAATGATCTAAAAATGGCAACTCTAACTACCAACACATTGAAATCAAGTATTTGATTTGATATAAATTATAACTCTAATCTAAGCCCAATCACTGTTTATTTCTAAGTTGGACAAATATATATATATATATATATTTTTTTTTTTCTTTTTAGTTGATGTTAGTTGGTTTAAATAATGATTTTGCTTGAACTTATATAGTTAAATAACGTCTTTGGTACTAAGACGTTAAAAGTTAAAAGTAATTTGTATAGTATTCCAACATGTTGGAATTTTTACTCCTAACAGAGAAAATAATGGTTTGTTTAGCGGCGTTAAGGAAAATGAAAAAGCTGACCATAATACTAATTTTTTAGAAGTTGATAAGAAACGAGGGTGGCTAGACTGGCAATTAAAATAGGGGTGATATATTTGTTTGGACCGAGGGCGACATTGAGACCTGTAAGTCCCGTGGGCCATGGTGTGCGGTGAAAAAAAAATCTTGTCCTATAAATGACCCTTCAGTTGTGATATGAGCTTTCCAAATTGAGAATAGAAACAACTAATGCAATAAATATTATAGTAATCTTGGGTTTGCGCGATTAACTAAAATTCATATTTTTTAAATTAGTTTTTATAAGTTTGCCATGTTATCAAAGAGACTTTCGCGGGCGGTTGTTTGGAGATCTCTGCCTAAGAAGATTGGGTACATCAAACAAAGATAACACAACTGCCGGAAAACGAAAAGGAATAGAAAAGCAAAGTGTGTAAACTGACAGAAGTGAAACCAGATTGTGGTAAATGGTTCACTAGCTCCGGAAGTTCAACGAGAGAAGTTAAGCTGTGCCTTCTTAGGATTGGGCACTGTAAATTTATACATGGCTACCTTCTAAGAGGCCTCGAAGCGCCTACGTGTGAAAAATGCAACAACATATCTTAAATAGTTGTTGTTGATATTTAATGCTTACAGGTGTAAAAACACGAGGTCATCAAAGCCTATCTAATCTTCATTTCAATAACAAATTATAGTGGAGAAAAAAAAATCTCAATTCTAAATGTTGTTTAGTAAATCATTAGCATTAAGAAAATTTATCACCAACCTTATTTTAACTTTATCATTATTTAAAACAACTGATAATTTTGAAGCTATCTGAAACAGTGAAACACCAACTGTGAGAGAATGCGCCAATTGGAAAATGGCAGAAAAAAAAAGATCTATTTCTATGGCATAAAATTAAGAGAATTTCTGCAGGATGGGGCAGAGTAGTCTCTACTGTGCTTAATTTTACAAAATAATTACAACAGAAAATAAATTATTGTACAACGCCAAAGATCCTTTTAAGGCTAGAGGCTCGAGAAAGAGTGATTGAGTGAGAAATAAATTCTTTACTTTTGATTTTTGTTTTCTTATCGTCCATAAATTTATTGTAATTATTAGAGATATAATATAAGGTAATATAATAAACGTATGTATTTGTCCTAGCACTGCCAAATGGCGTGTTAAGGAAAGAGAATGGGAATAGGTTTACCAATTGTGGCATGAGGTATTAGTAAACAAATTTAGTGTTTATTTTTTAATATAGCATCAAATTTTAATTCAGTACAACAATGTATTGTTACATATCTGGGAAATAATTAGTCTAGTTCAAATCTTCACTTCTTTCAAGGTTCTCATATTTGTTATCGTCAAAGCAATAAGTTGACTGAGGCTTGGACAAATCTAAAAAAGACTCGAGAGCGTTGAGGACAAGGTACGCCAAGAGAGGGGAGCTGGATATGGGGGCCCAGTCACGTAGGCACAGAGCAGGGCGAGGGGAGGGGATGGGGATAGGGCCACCAATTAGCAAATATTTACTGGGCCCTTCTCTCTGTCGTTAGTATAATAATCCTACAAATATAGTTCAGCTCTTTAATTAATAAGTGCAGGATTTCATTGTTAGGATCAAGCAGAGAGGTGTGGAATAAAACGCTATCATTAACTAACCTGATCTAAATCCAATGAAAGTCCCTGAATAAGAACACACATCAATCAATGCAATGGCATTTTTATGTAAGAAGTTCCTAAAAAGAACCCATTTTTCAGACAACTCTAAAGGTTGTTGTTAATCCAATAATATATGTACAAGACAAGAAACAAGTGATGTTAGTTAAATGTGGAGTTTATAATGGTTAGCAGGATGTACTGAGTTGAACATTGAGGAGATTGTAGGTAATTTTATTGATATTACATGTATCAGTGAAGATTTTTAATCGATTTCAGATGACAAGAATTAAAGATGTGAAGAATTCGATGATTAGTGTAACCCCAACTCAAAACCTTCCTACAATTACAATAAAAGTTATTTAAAAAATTAGGAGTTTCAATACAGATGTTTCAGTGATGATGTCCTGTGATCAATGATGATGTTTCAGTGATGATGAAGTCCTGCACATGAAGCTCTAAAACGTTTTTGAGTTCAGTCTTAATTCTTGCCAGAAGTCTCTTGAGTACTTATCCAGTACCTATTAGTGGCAATTAGTTGCCACAGAATAATTATCACATGTTTAGGCTTCAAACATGTGATTTCAAGATTTTATTACTATTTATGATAGTCTTCGATGTACTAAAAACATATTGGAAATTTATAGGGAAGAGAATAACTCTATGAATCCATGGCTACTTAGGATAATGTAGAAAGATTTTTTTTTTGTTGATATTTTCAAAATATAATGGTTTATTTTATTTTCATGTTATACTTACTTATTACATATATAAATAAGCAAAAGTTGATCTAATAAAGATTAAAAAATCGCCAAAATAAATCGATAAAAACATATATTCATAATATAACAACAGTAATAAATAAAAACAAATACTGATATTATAATTAACAGTGACGCGACTGAGAGAGAAGCAATGGGACCTCCTGAAGTCCTGATTTGGCTTCCACATTCGGTGTACAAAGCATGACTCAGAGTTCTCTGGGTGTATGTAAATATTGTATATAGCTGTGAATGTGTCTTATTTATTTTAATTTCATTTACTTTCTATCTATTATTTCATTTTCTTTTTTTTTTTTTTTTTTTGTAAAATGTGTATTATTTTTTTTATTTTATTATCTATATTTATTTTTCTTTATTATCTTAATTTAATTATTATTTGTATGTACATATTGTGTGAATGATTTACGTAGCCCTAATATTAATGACCTCCAATATGGCACGATGTATTAATTTTTAATTAATAAAACAAGAAAATATTATAATTAATTAAAGTAAATAAATAAATTGTTTACAGTGTTAAGGTAGTGCCAATAAAAGACTACATTTATGCTCCGATTATTTCATTAAAAACTATCGAGTTGTAAGGACAACGTAAAGAATTGTACAGATACATAAATATTATCAATCAAACGTGCCCGTAAACAACACTAAAGGCTTTGAGGGGTATTTATTATTCGAGCTAATACTTTATTAATATATATATATATATATATATATATATATATATAAATAAATAATACGTATATGTATATGTGTATTTTAAAGGAGAACGGTGTTCAACCGTACTGTCGATAAGTGGTTTATTTACACTTTTTCGGAATATCATTTAGTGTTTCATTTTTCTTCCTGTAATAATTGTTCGAGTGAAATAAGGTTCAAAAATAATGCCTAAGACGTCAAACTGAAAAAAAAAAAACGAGTTTCAATAAGTTTAAATTTATATTTCCTTGTGATGAAAAAAAAATAAATAAAATAAAATAACTGGTCGATATCTAAGTAGATTTAAAGCTCCATTTTTGGTTATTTGCTAGGATAAAGATAAAAATGATCAGAAAAATAGTAACAAAATTTGGAGAAAAAAAATTAAATCATAGGATACGACTATGATTTTTATTTCAGCAAGAAAACATCGTAACACAATATTGACCAATTGTTGGTTCATATAATTTAAATACTATGTAGTTAATGAACCACTTTTTAGTTAATAATATTAGCAATATTTAATAATATTGTCAGGTATTAATGATATAAATACTAGTTATACATTCTTAATTGAGCTGAACCAGGAGGTTGGACGCAGGTTAATCTAAGCGTGCCTGACCCAGTTGGTGCGGGTGTTATACAATTGTTGGATTGAAGCCTATCTCAACTCCCTCTCCTGCTGAGCTGTCGTCAGATCAGGAAGAGCCTTTTGATTCCTAATTTTCTGTATTGATCCTAAATTAATTTATAAATATTTGTCGGTCCTTTTTCTGTTCTATGGCGAGGTGAGTTTCACTCTCAGAGAGCCACCGACGGATTCCAACTCCCCACCTCCCGTGTCTTCACTTCCCGTCTGGATCAACTTTCTTTCTGTAAGAGGAGTTGTACATAATGTGAATACCAAAGTGTATGTGTAGAGAGTTTACAAAACAATTTTAAAATGTAACTTTCATTATCTTGTTATTCTCTCTTTTTTTTTTTTTAGGTTATTATATTTATCAAACAGCAAACAGATAAAGCTGATCCGTCACTGTTATTATAACAAATGTGATTATTGATTTATGTCTTTTTAACTTTCTAATTTTGTGAAATATTTTTTCTTATTATTACTATTATCAATAACTTATTTTATTGTTTTTCTTTCTTAATTATTTTATAAATATTGATATCATTTCTTTTTAGAATTATATATATATATATATATATATATATATATATATATATATATATATATATCATTATAATATATATATTTTTAACATATATTTTAGCTTATATAAAAATGCTATGAGATTGTACACGTAGAGCAATAAAACATATTGCCCATGATTGTGGAAAATCGTATTATTAATATACAATAAAAAAAAAAAATTGTATGGAAATCTTTCACATTTCGTTTGTTGAAATAAAAACTTTTGTGGTTCCATTTTAAAGTATTGAATCATGTAAATATTTTATTCCGTGATACAGACCCCTTTTTATCGAATTATTAACATCCGTCTGAAACTTTGTAAATAGTTCCATATCATCATAACCTACAACTATTTTATTTACGAAAATTCTTGGAATTGTAGCGTTTTCAATCTAGGGATAAGCAAATTTTATCTATTTAATGAGACACTAAAAAATCTTAAATACTCATTTGCTTTCCACTTCAATAGTAAGATAATTTGAGCAAAAAATCGAGATAAAAACGTGGCCTTCAAAAATATTGTACGGTTTGGCGTGACTTACAATCCCAAAATGTCAAAATAACGAGGGGTATATAGACCAAATGGACAATGTTTTTGTTGGCCACTTTTTTTTTTCGATTTTGTTATTATATTGTTACATACGATTCAAGTGGAAAGGAAATCAGTATTCATAAGTTTTTAGGTTAAAATGAGATAAAGCTATGTTTCAGGTGGATGTTTATAATTTGATAAAAAGGGGTCTGTATCACAGACTATCTATTTAAATTGCTAAGAAATTTATTGGAAGAATAACTGTGTTTATCTATTTTTCATATCCTTTTGCGTTTTAATGTTTCTGTAAAATTAATATTAACAGTTGTATAGATATTTATTCAATTTTATGTATTATTTATTACCTTATAACAGCGTTCTTTCTTAATTAATTATTTTCTCATCAATTCTTTCCCATAGGCCCAATTCTACACAATAAATACTCTTCATTTATTGTGTTTTCTTTATCATTTTTATTAAGACGTTTGTTGGAGTTTCTTTATTTCCCTCTTCAGCATAAATACTTAAATAAACAATAATATAAACAAAATACACCCTATGTCAAAAGTGTAAAGAGAGAATCACAAAATCCAATATCTTTTAGAGTTACACTTATTACATAAGTGTATTGCACTATTTCCCAATCAGTGTAATGCAGGAAGTATTATTGTAGATAAAATAAAAATCTTTAAAATCTTCCATTTGCATAATATTTAAGAAAGGAGCATGCGCTATCGCCCTTTTGGGGGAAGGACACCCCTGCTTAGATGTCTACGGGTTTTTAATTGAATAAAGGATAGGAACTTTAGACGATTCCTGTACACTTACACTGAAATACCCAATGCGGATTTACGCACAACGAATTTGAATGAAGCAGTATTTTTTATATTAAAAGGAATTTGTAAATATAAAACTAGCTTACTTCAGCAATATTAATAATCTTCATTTATGTGTATCGAAAAATCCTAAAACAAATTCACAGCTGGAAAATCTTCTTTTTAAAACTACAGCGTATATAGAGTTGATATAAGTTTTTAAGCCCTATAAGTTTTTTTATGTTACTTTCGCTAACCTAAATATATAATATATAGTAAGGAAAAGTATTGCGATGACGAAAAATTTCGAATCCGAGTTTTCAACGAAAATATAAGTTTTGCGGTCCACTGAGTCCAAAAAAACAAGTCTTGAAAAATGGCTTATGTGTGGGAGAGGGGCGGAGAAGAGGGTATGTGTGAACAGTCTACCACCAAAATCGGAGGTTGTACAAAACAGATATTACATATTTAAGGTTTGTATATGCCTATGATGTTACAGCAACTGTTTCTTCTAAATTTGCTAACGGGAAATGGTACTTTATATAATCGATTTTACACATTTTTAATTTTTTTTCCATAAATATTTCTAACGATCTAACAACTTTGAATTCATCACATCAGTGTAAAGTTAAGTAGTTTTTAATATAATATAAGTATTACTTACATGGATATTCTCTGACAGGATTTAATTTTTTTTTTTTTTAAACTTTTGTTACATATTTATTGAATGATATATATCCTTTAATTTGTGAAACCATGAATTTTTTTTTTTTACTTATATCAGTATTCTTTCTTTACTACTTAGTACTTATTATTTATTTTATATTTTATTTTATATTTTTATTTACTTTGTTTTATGTATTTTTAATTACTTTCATTTATTTCCTTGTATGTGTGTATGTATATATATATATATATATATATATATATATATATATATATATATATATATATATATATATTGATTTGAAGCTTAGTAAAAATAAAATTAACCTTCTAAAAACAATACATATACAAACCTT